TAACAGTAGATAACATCTGGATATAAAATGTTCCTACACTACAGTGTTTGTGTTGTGGTGGCTGCAGAAGGCCATTAAGCGTCCGAACCAAACTATTTACATCTCACAGTCTGGTCACTAAACCATTTCCTGCATCTGCTGATGGCTCTTTCTTTTTAAAACATATATAGTTTTAATAAAATAATAGTTATTCATATCTACTAGTCATATATTACTATGTGGGAACCACCTACCCACACGTTGATGCTAGGCACTTGATGTTTTCACCCAAAACACTGCTGCACGATTAACAGCTGACTGTCATTGGTTTACACTTGTTTGTTATTCCTTCAGTCTCTAAAGACACACATCAATTTAACAGCATTTGTTCAAACCGTGCACCAGGAGCTAAAGCTAATATTTAAACATCAAATATCACTCTGGTGGTTAGAAATGCAGGTTATGCAGTGTCTTGTTATATTAGCTGGTTTTTCCTTGTTTTACCGCTGCGGTGTCTCTGTTGACACTTCCACGATTCCACGGCCGACAGGCAAAAACCAAACATGACATTCATATGTTCTTTTATGACTTTCCTTTAAAACAAATGTAAAATACATTAGTCGTAATTCAAAGGTGTGGTTTTCATTTGTAAATGCTTGGTTTCACCTCAAAGCCAGACTCCGAGAGTTTGATCTACAGAACGTCAGTTAGATAATCAGGCTCGTAAACAAAGTATGAAAGTGCTGCTCTATCAGACCTTATCCCAGACAAACAATGGCACAGCCTGACTCCTTCACACATTTTTAAAGCAGGATGAAAATACAGGACTTGGCAGCGGGATAAGAGGGATAGAGGGAGGCTCGCATGCTGCTCTGTGGATTGTTGGGGCGAGGGTCAGCTGAAGGACGGCTCAGTTATTATCTGCGAAGAATGATTACCCGTGATTATTTGTGGCCGGGGAGGGAGAGGCAAAGATGTATGCTCGCACGAGTATGATTCATATAATCTGTGATAGAAGCCAAATGCACTCTGCAGTGAGCGGTTCTCCGATGCACTTTGATGTGATTTTATTAGTCTCCTTTTTAATCTTAATCAAACTCTTTGTTATGTACACTGACATTAAATTCTGCAAGTGGCATAATCACATTTCAAACCATAAAGTAGCTTACAGTTAATTTGTCAGTTCAAAGGAACGCAATCAAAATCCACGAGCAGAATGTAATTTCGATGTTTAGTTCAGTTTGTTGACAGAAATAATATTTCACGCCCTGTGGCCATCATTAGACCAGAGCCTGACACTCAACTCATAATTTTGGGGCAATGAAACAAAGTATGACGGTGGAGAAAACAGACTCCTTCCTCTGAGAATGATATTCAAACACAGACGCATGCAGACAGGGATGCAAATGTAGCCTCTTACACATGCATGCTCCCATACAAATACAGGAGCAGCAGATCTCACAGACGAACATCGTTACACTTGTGGAACATGCAGTGCACGTCTCACTCCCAGGCTTCTCACCCTGTGCTGCTCAGTGTGTATTTTTTGGTGTGCTTTACTCATGTGAAGACAGAACAGGAAGAGATAAAGGCGGCTCTGGTGCCGTGTTTACAGCTCACACCACTGAAGAGAGTAGCTGGAGAAGACAAAGGGGAAGAGGCCTAATGGTGCAAAGCCCTAAGCACAGCATCTGAATGTCTTATTGCTGGATACTTGGAGAAACACCCAGTTCACTGAGGATGATAAATGCACCAGTAAATATGATAGTTCCCCTGGATTATGATTGGTTAATAAAATTCCACACATTAACTTGTTAGCATATCAGAGATAATAGCCCAATAAAATAATATGTAATAGCATCTACTAAAAGTGGCCCATGTCTGTGCTTGATGAGAACACTGTCGGTACTTTAATGTTGCTGATGAAATGTCATATTTTTACATGAGAAAATTGTGACTGAAATACGCTATAGTTCATGATTAATGATAGGAAAGAAAGGAATCAAGAAAAATATTTATATCATGTGATTTATCTAATATGTCCTCAGCTTTAAATAAAGCATGTGAAACACAACTCTTAAGTCAAAGTGGAGCATGGAACTTGTCTGACCTCTCCACAGCTGCTTGTCCCTAAATAAAGAGAACCAACCAAACTCATGCAAATATCTGGCAACAACGTACTGAAAGCTCCTCTCTCTTTCAAACACAAACTGGTCAGGTGATGGCTTTATATTTGCATTAGATGCATCAATGAGCTACTGATGTGAACATGCATCATGAATAGATTAATCTATGACACAATTATTTCATCAAAATATAAAGAATAACAAACCACTTGATGGTTTATGATGTAGTGGGGTGGGCAAAAATACAATATCATTATCAAAATAGGATTGTCATCAGTCAACAAAAGTCCAATATATATCAACATATACAATCAATATACATGCTTATGCATTGTGCAAGAGCGTATTTTCTATAAATTAATCAAACAAGAAATGAGGTATTGAAGTGTATGAAAGTGAAATGTTCACAGGCTCTGATAGGTTAGATAAATCAACTGCTTTACATGTTTTTAGCTTTAGAGCGGAACCGTCTGATAATTCCAGCTTCATATTCATTATACAAATACAGCTAATTTCCCTAAATGAATCATTCTTCCTTTAAAACCTAATGTTGGTTGTCTTGCCTTTATATGTTAGATATCTCATCGTAACATGAATTCTTATGAAAAAGCTTTTAAATGACATTGTTCTAAACAAATAACGTCAAGTAGCTTTTCTTTTATTGTTCACACAGACACATTAGTGCTGAACTATAGACGGAGGAAGGTCCTGTATGTAGGACTTCCTGTTTGCGACACACTTTTCCTGTTGTGGATGATATCCTCCTGAGTTCCAGACAGCTCAAACTCAATTACTGGATTTAAGGGATCCGGGTATAGTCTACCACTTTTCTGATGACACTCACTCCTCACAGATGCTCACTGAGATATTTAGGTCATTTGATTGTTCTTGTTCTTTTTGTATGATTCACTAATGAAAAATTCATTGAGTCCAAAAGAATTCAAAGCACCAATGCACTTGGGATGTGGGGGCATTGTGGTTTACTGATAGATTTTCTTTGTATTGAACTGTGTAAAAAGAAAATATTCTGATTTAAATTCCTTCTTCTATTTCCTTCTTCCTCCAGATTCTCATTTCAAGCAACAAGAAACATTTTGTTGATATTTCCACTCGTTCATGAGACGATACAGCTGCCACCACCTTTCGCTTGTTACTGAAGTCCTGTCACTCAACGTGGCCACCTAGTGGAGCTGTGAGGGTTGATCACCCTCCTGGTCATCAGAGATTATTCCACTACCTCCCTCATCTGGGGAGGCGCCTGCTCTGCAACATCTCCCTCAGATCCCTTTCATTTTTTGTTTTTACCCCCTGGAGACAATACAGCACTGAGCAGAGTTTGATTTCATCAGACTTTGGTCGATCAAAGATTTAAAACCTCCTTGAAATTTCAAGAGTCTCATAGAAAGTGGAGTTGTTAACCAGTGGGTCACAGAAACCGTTCTGTCCCCTGACATACATGTGCGTGTGATATACTCCCATGATCCATGGCTTCACACTGGAGTTAATGGTGCTCCAGAGCCAGAAACAGGTCTCATCCAACAAGAAGCAAACTGAGCCACAGAGGACGAGTCACTCTTATCCAATAAGAGCAAAGCCAGATGGAACTGTCATCAAACGGCACATTCTCTACAGCGACACCAACAACAGCATTCAATGGTGAGAATTCATTTCATGCACATTTATCAACAGAAAAATGTATTTTTAATCTGCCCATTAGTTTAGAAAACATTAAATCATCGACCTGTATAATAATATAATACTTCTCCTTTAAGTTGGTGTTGCACTGAGTTTGGGCGTTTAGGTGCTTTTCACAGTGGGGCTGCCTCACAACCATAACACAATGACTAAGTGATTCTTTTTTCTCTCTTTGAGGCACAAGACAGACAGACAAATACACCAATCACAACTGGGAGTTCCTGGTGGCCGTCCTGGTCACAGCCATCTCTATCTCCATCGTCATCGCCCTCCTGGCTAAATGCCACGTGATCCGGCGTTACCTGGCCAGCTACCGGCACACGCGGCTGAGGGAGTCGGACACGGTCAGCCAGTTAGATCCGTCAGGTTTGTCATTTTTTAAATTAAGACAAGAAATATGCAATTCGGCGACAGTGGATGTTAGCATTTGTGAGCGATGATCAGTTCTCAGCCCCCACCTGCCTGCCGCTCCTTCTGCACAACAAATGCTGCACCTGTATGACTTGCTAACTTTCATCACAGAAATTCTGGTGTTTAACGGAACAAATAAACATCCAGAATCCAGGGCCTCGTTTTTTTCCCTCTTTTACAGGCTCTCAGAGTTTGTCCATTGTCCCTGTGGACAAGTGTCTATGTGACCTTGTCTCTGACAGGACACAGTGAAAGCTGCTCTTTGGGCTCCTGAACTCAACCAAAGAGCTTTAACTGCACACAAGTGCAATTGTTGCAACTCATCCAGTTGAGCGTCAATGACACTTGAGATTGACCTCTCCCGTGTCTGTGAGCACGTCCTTGTGGGTCCACTTCTCTTCTAAAGTGCGACAATCTGTACCTTCTGTTGTTATTCTTCTTCTCAGTGATGATATGCTACAGCTAAAAAGAATATCAATTGCTGTCATTAGATTTTTGTTGGATTCCTGAGGTGTGTTTTTCGTTTGTTTTTAAATCGTCTCATGTATTTCTAATCGTTCTCTTACATTTTAATTGTTGTTAGTCGTAATCCAGTAGAACTCTTGTGTTTCATTTACTTCAGGCCTTGACGTAGTGTTCGCGATGCACAGTGGTCGTGGAGTGAACCCACACTGTGTCCCTCCCGTGAGCGAGGAAGACGACGACGGCTTCATTGAGGACAACTACATCCCGGCCAGCGAGCGAGCGAGGGCAGAGAGAGCAGCGGAGAACATGGAGGACACTGAGGAAGAGATGGATGAGATTGAATTTACCATCGCTTAGTGTCGAGTGTCTCCTCTCAGCTGAACCACTGAATCCACTCGTACCTTTTCTTTAGTTTTTGTCAGTTACAAAAGTGACACTGGTTAAGTTTTGTAAAATGTAAAAACCTGGGCTTGCATGTGTCTGAATTTTAAACAAGCACAGAAGTGTATTAGTTCTCAACGTCTGGTCTGATGACGAGTCACAGTGGTCAAGTTTTATCTGTCAGCATAGTGACGAGAGTAACAGCAAATTATATGTTACTTATTTATACAAAAGGATAAACTGGAAATATATAAGTAGAAAAGAGATAAACAGGTCTTCTCATAGACTCTATATAAAGATGGACGACATAACTATATAACTATATAAAGATGGACGACATAACGACTCCTCAAAAGTGAAGCCAAAATGTTATTAGCACCCTCTGGTGGCTGGCTGCAGTAAAGGCCAGTAATGTGAAGACACATTGTCTATCTTTACATACAGCCTAAGGGTCTTCTGTATATATTTACGTTAACCAATCACTTGTGTGTCTTGACAGTTGTCGATTGGTTGATTGATTTGCGGATGCTTCATTACAGGTCTTGAAAAATATCCTGGACGGACGATCTCAGCTGTGGAGAGGAAACTTTCACTTTCCACTCTCATGTGTTGTCAGTGGGATAAATAAGCAAATGTGTGTGTAAACGTATAAATTATTCAATTAATTGATTAAAAAGCTGTTTTAATTGTTTGGATGCTTTTCAAAAAGGTTGGATTTTATTTTTTACAATATGGGACAAGATAGTGACAAGACATATCCGTTGTATGTTTGAAGTTACCAACTACTAGTAGATGTTAGCATGTGTTAGCGACCACCAGCAGATGTTAGGGACACAACCTCAGTTGTGCACCTCAGCGTCATCAAGTGTTTTGGCCTCGTGATCAACGATACAGGCCGGACCAGAGGGTACGCTGAGGCTGAAGGTAAAGATATTTATATTGTCCAACTCTTTTACAACTGACACAATTGGAGTACCATGATTTTTAAATGTAGGACTACAGGTGAAAAAGTATGACAACTTCCAAATGAGAATAGGGCGGTTATACTAAAGAAAGTACTTGTAATATACTAAAGACAGGACTTGTAATATACTAAAGACAGGACTTGTAAAATGGACAGAGGCCTGGAGTGCCAGAGAGGATCCAGCTGATGAAGGAGGTGCGTCAGGTCTGAGAGGAGCTGCTTCACCCGGAAACACAGATGATCAAGTTTACACAGAGGAGCTGGAGAGGAACCAGAACTGTGAGGGTTCAACCTTCAAAGTAAAAGTCCAGGATTTAACACTGATAGTAAAAGTGGGTGTTTCATTTGATCTAACCTAAAAAGAAAACATTGGAAGGATGGCATTAGAATTAAGAGCCTCAGAAATAAAACACTTAAAGGGCTATGATGTA